GGTTAACGGAGTTTTAAATAATTACGAAGCCACAGGTATTTGCGCAATGTTAATTAGGCAGATTACCTTGAAAAACATTGCTGTCGTAATTCTGATATAGCTTTTTTCAAATTTCTCAGTTTTTAATAACCATTAATTTATTTTACTACTTTTTCTGTACTCCTATGACAGCGCCAGACAACACCTCCAGAGGAATGACGCCAATTTTGAATCACCCTGTATATTAGAATTATTTTCTCAAATATATTCACTTTCGCGACATGTTTTATGTAGATGCTCAACAGCAATCATGAATGTGTAAATTCAAAATAAAAAAGTGCCCCAAACAGTTTATAAATTAAGTTTTCGCAAAATTCCTCTTTTGTAAGCTTACTGCTTTGTCTTACTTTCTGTTGTTTTGGGGTAGTAATCAATCAAGTCGACAATAATCTGACTTAATTGAACAGCACCGTTTTTTTTTTTTTTTTTTTTAAGGCATCCTATGAAGGCAAACAAAGTTCCAAACCTATGTAGGTTTGGAACTAATCTAAAGATAAACCAACAATCTAACAAAATTAATATCATTACTTAAATTGAAACTTATCAGACTTAAAAATTTATATCATGCTAACGTAGAACCCATATAAAATTAGCCTAAAACCCTTGTGTTAAAACACACTTTTATAACAGAAACACTGTTTTTTTTTATAGTACACAATGTTCTCGGATGAAAACTTTTAGTTTTTTCTTTATTGTGACCTAACGTGATACTAAATTTTTGAGATAATCCGTCAATGAATTGTATACGTTTATTGCTAGAAAAAAGCTGTTCTTACTACTAAAACTTAAACTCTTATTTCTAGTATTGCTAGTGCTTTTAGTGAAAATATTACTTAATGCAACGTAATGGAAGGACACAGCATCCAATGGGAAAAGCTACCTTAATGTAAGAGGAGTATCTTGAACTGTAAATCGATGTAATTAATAAGTAATAATGTAAAATTCTTTTGTATTCTCTGGATTAAATTTAAAAAGTCGTTATGTGCTCCTTTCCAAGCAATTATGCCACAATTCACCAAACTTTAAAAAAATGTATAATAGGTTATCACTAATGATTTATAGTTAATTGAAGTTTTAATTGTCGCAAAAACGAAAATTAAATACTTAGCTTTCTTGACAACGTAATTTATGTGTTTATCTCACTTCATTTTAAAATCAAACTGTATGCGTAGATATATATGGCTTTCTACTGTTTTCACTATATTACTACCTAATTTAATTTGTAAGGCAGCAGGAACGCTATCACAATAGCTGCCATACGCTATATACACTGTCTTGCTAACATATAATGATAGTTTATTTAAAATAAGCCACCTGTCTACTTTACTAAAATAACCATTCATTCTGTTCTGAGCAGACGATCACACTCGATATTACAATTGCATCATCACCATATGTCATAATCGCATCTTTCTGAATACCTCTCAGTAGAACATTTATATAGAGAATGAAAAAAGTGGTTTCAAAATTGTCCCTTGTGGTACACCAACTAATATTTCTTTGTATTCGCTTTGACAGTCTTGCAATTTTACACATTGTTTTCAACCTGAGTGGTAGCTGGTTAATATATTTAAGGCACTGCCTCTTATTCCATATCTATCTAGTTTTTCTAGTAATATTCTGTGATCTACAGTGTCAAAGGCCTTAGCTACGTCTAAAAAATTAGTGATACTAGCCTTGCTTTTATCTATACTATTATAAATAATGTTGGATATATAGGTTAACTCATCTGTGGTGCCTTTATTTTTAACAAAACCATATTCACTGTCTGCTATAATTTTGCACTCTGTCAAAAATCTATATAATCCATAGCATATGATTTTCTCAAATTGGTGCAGTCTGGCAACACTGCACAAAAAATGGCGTAAATATGGACATTTTATCAAAATTTGTGAATGTTCTCTAGCATGATTCTATGGATCATCCGCATTTTTTTCGTTGAATGTGGTTTGTTTTAAGTGTACGTTAAAGAAAAATCAAAGCGAACACCAAAATCCGGCAAATGTAAACTACATGAACACCAATTAATCGAAAAACAAAAGCTTCTCGAGAAGAGTGCAGATCAAGGTACTAACTTGTTGGGACTTGGACAGATATGTGTTTTGATTTGAATACATATCAATTCGAGGTTATGATGACAACAAAGCACAATTTCACATTTTGGAAAAAGTAGATCCCTACTTACATTTAACGAATGCTGCTGAATATACCGTTTATCATAATCTTTTAGGTTTTTACACAGTGTTAATTAGGCACTTGACCTTGAAAAACATTGTTGCCATCCTTCTGATATAGTTTTTTGCAAATTAGTCAGTTTTTAATAAAAAAAATGTTATACACTGTACTCCTAAAACACCTCCCCGACAACACCTCTAGAGGAATACCGCCGTTTTTGAATCACCCTGTATGTACAAAATAATATTTGAAGCAAGGCAATTATTTCCATTCTTCCATTCCATTTTCAGCTTAGTAGCGATAACCAATATACCAGAAGCGTTATTAAGCAAGCTACACTAATGGCAAAGTATAATGACGTTTTCTTCTATGTTTTTGCATACGATGGAGAAGCTGGAGGAGTAAGTGCCACATTTCCAGGTATAAAAATGATGCTAATGATTCTTAGAGAAACTCTGACTGTTACCTAAAAAAAAACATCTTTTAATCTTATACGTACAGGGTGGTTTTTTAGTGCGAGAGAGTTCATTATTTCCGTTGTTGTTGAACTTTCGAAAAATAGTTTCATATAAAAGTTGTTGACGCACAAAGTGCGCACATTTTAAAAAATTATTATATGATACAGAGTAGAGTGTCTCAGAAAAGCGAGGCAAGATTAAAGTGTATTTTTTTAAATAGAACTACCCATTTTTCATTAGCTCATGGAATGCAGCTTGAAACGCTGCATATGCACCGTAAATTTTTTTTTAATTGCCTGCGACGTTGGCAGATTATGGCCACTTTAGTAAAATTTTGCTTAAAAACATGATATCTAAAAATTCATTGTAGAAGCAAAAAAAGCATGTTAAAGATACAAAAAAATACATCTTTCCAATCACCACAGATCCATTAAAAATTCTATGGAACCAAAATATCAATACATTGTACAGGGTGTAAACAATGTAACTTTCGTTTTTCAAATGAAAGTACCTGTATATTAATACGTCATTAGATAGACAATTTACTAAGTTAGAAATTTGCATTTACACTATAAGCTGTGAAATCAACCGTTTTCAAATTAGAAATTATTTTATTTAAAAATTTCAAAAAGTTTTTGCTTTTTGTAAGGTGGCTATAGAATTCATTAAATAAATGTCAAATAAATGATGATACTTGACATAATCAATGAAAAAAAGTGCAATGTTTTATAAAATGGATGAAATTTCATAGCAAAAAATGCAATAAAACTGCATACCTCTATAAAAATAAAAATATAATATTATACGTACACTGATATTTTAAAATAAATGTTCAATATGATTGCCGGTAACATTTAAGCAACTATTAATATCTACGTTTTTTTAAATGAATGGCTAACGCAGTTCAAAACAATATTATTAATGCTTCGAAAAACAGTTGTGATTCTTTCCTTCATGTCATCTTTTGTAGTTGGAGTTATTTTATATATTTCGTGACATAAGCCCATAAAAATAAATCCATTATTGTCAAATCGGGTGAACGAGGTGGCCATTGAACAGGCCCACCTCTGCCTATCTACCTCAAAGGAAATTATTATTATTATTATTTAGCTACTCACGAATTTGAGCTGTATGGTGAACTGGAGCTCCATCATGTAAATACCACATTTTTTCCTTGATATAATTAGGTAAATGATCAATTAAACGTGGCAATTCAATGTTTGACACTTATTTATTGACTTCCATAACCACCTTACAAAATGTAGCAACTTTTTGAAATTTTGAAATAATAGCGATTTATGTACCAAGGGCGTTACGGACCTTATAATGCCCTGAGGGCCGAACTAGCCCGAGGGCCTTTGGCCCGAGGGATAGGTTTCGGCCTGATGG